TAAAAACGAAGTTCCCCTAGCAGAAAAAGAATACACACACATGTCAAATATATAGTATTGTATGTTAACTTATATTTCTGTGGGAAGTATATTTGCTGTAAATTTGTGTTCAAAGAAACTGTTAGTAAAGTAAAAGGATGAAACAATTAAATACACTATTAAATATATATATATAATTAATAAAATGGATAGACTAAATTATATATTTGAATTGGTCATTCAGATATGTGACATTTGGAGGTTTTTTTTTTTAAATCTTTCTGTAAATTTTCTGGTAGGTATTACAAAATGAGAATGTACATAACTTGGTAATTTTAGTTGAAAGTATTTACTGCCTATAGTATTGACATTCAAAGTTATATTAATCCTACAAATAAAATAAAATTTTATACTTCACTATGTTTTGTTGAAAATATGTCTCAGTATATAATTATTCTGGGACTATCACTTATTATGAGCTCAGTATGGGGCTGGAAGTTCTGGCTATCAGAGGAGTTCTGCCACCCAAGCGCCAATGACATGAACTGTGCCAAGACATAACTGTTTCAAGGTATGTGAATACATGCACATGATTCAAGATACTTTATATAGTTAAGTGTAAAGTGATAAGACATGGGCTAGTATATGTGATAGGAAATGTCACCTCCATACCTCTAATGGCACCTCTCCTTAGTAAATGCAGAGGCAAGTAGGTGAGCTTTGAGGTGGGTGAGTAACTGAGAAATATCCCAGGTTGCCTCTAAATCCATAAAAGGACCAAGACAAGGCAATCCTCCTCCTGTAGCCTCCTGAGTGGTGAGAGTATAGGTGGATGTTGACACTCCCAGCAGGGATTTTGCATTTTTTTAAAAACAAACTCCCAAATACTGTAGGGTCCCACTTAAAGGAACTCTGATTCTCAAGTCTCAGCAAAGTCACATGACAGCAGTTTGTTGCTTGTTTTTCTATCCTCTATGCTCACAATAGATTAGCAGAGACTCTTACAGCTATTCAAGAACCAGATTGCTTAAAGTCTAATGCCTGACTCACACATGTAAGTTTCTTTTCTTACTCAGTGTCACTCGTAATGTCCAAGTGGGCCAGTGAAATCCTATGTGCCTGAACATTCACCATTTGTGAACAGTGCCTTTGGTATGCTCATCATGGTGTCAGGCATGTGACCAGCATTGTCATTGTATTTTTAAGGAGCATGTAGGCCAAGAATAATTACCATGGTTGTGTGTGTGAAAAGGATACACTGTAGAGTTAGTAAATTCACATAGCATGACGTTACCCCTGCTGGGAGGAGGGGTCTGATGCATTCCTGCACTGTAACAGCTACCACAGTTTCAGGGTATGGAGAGAGACGAGTTTGGGAAAGCTCCTAAAGCTTGGTCCTTTCCTCCTTTTTCATAAGGAACTACGTTCATGTGTAAAGGGGACTTATTTAGATGTAGTAAAGTCAAGAGAGATGATTATATAAACCTGCATAAATCCTTGAAGAATGGAACAAATTTAAACAAAGGAATGGGGAGCATAGGGAGAAAAGGCCATCTGATTCCTGCCGAGGTGAGAGGGAAGGGTCACTAAATTGTGCCAGAAACCAGTCTAGATCTGTGGTCTTTCAAAGACAAAGAGAGTGATATAGTTTATGTCAACTTGAAATAGACTAGTGCCATCTGAGAGGAGGGAATCCCAATTGAGAAAATGCCTCCATGATATTGGGCTATTAGGAGCAAGACACTAAGAAGCAACCCTCTGTGTCCTTTGCATCAGCTCCTGCTGCCAGCTTCCTGCTCTGCTTGAGTTCCTGTCCTGACTTCCTTCAGTGATGAGCAGTAATGTGGAAGTGTAAGTCAAATAAACCCTTTCCTCCCCAAGTTTCCTTGGTTGTGGTTCTTCATTACAGCAATAGTAATGTTTAGTGAGACAGTATTTTACCATTCTGTGACAGAAACTAGGGAACACTTGGGAGCCTTTCTTTTCTCTCTCTCTCTTTTTAAATGAATGATATGATCTGAAAAACCCTTATAAACTAGTTTGAAAGACACTTGTATTTCCACAGAGAGATAAGGGAGAAAACTGAAACCCTCAAGAAGACTGAAACACTCAGGGATGGTGAAAGCCAAGGCTAGGGGCTTGTGTGTGTGTGTGTGTGTGTGTGTACGTGTGTGTTTACGTGTGTGTGTGTGTGTGTGTGTGTACGTGTGTGTGTGTGTGTGTGTGTGTCTGTGTGTGTGTGTGTGTGTACACCAATATCCTAGTTTAGTGCCCTGTTTCTGTAATAAAATACCCTGACAAAAGCAACTCAGGGGAGAAAGGGTTTAATGGGTTCACAATCCTAGATTACAGAGCAGCACTACATGGAAATCAAGGTGGCAGGAACTTGAAGCAAGTCACATGCAGAGCCAAGAGCAGATGCGTATGTGCTAGGATTCAACTCTATTTCTCTGTTCTCTGTGAAATGGTGGTGTCCACATTTATGGTGTGTCTTCACTCTTCAATGAATCCAACTAAGAATATGCCTAGTTAGGGTTTCATTGCTGGGAAGAGACACTGTGGCCATGACAACAGGCTAGCCTCAAACTCACAAATATCTGCCTACCTGTGCCTCCTGAGTGCTGGGATTAAAGGCATGCACCACCACTGTCTGGTGCATGGTAACTGTTATAAAGAAAAACATTTAATTGGGGCTGGCTTACAGTTCAGAGGTTTAGTTTACCATGGTGGTAAACATGGCAGCATGCAGGCAGACAAGGTGCTGGAGAAGGAGCTGAGAGTTCTACATCTTGATCCACAGGCAACAGGAAGTGAACTGAAGAGCTTCGGAGACCTCGAAGCCCACCCACTAATCAATCACTTCCTCCAACAAGGCCACACCTACTCCAACTAAGGCCACACCTCCCAATAGTGCCACTCCCTTTGGGAGGCATTTTTCTTTCAAACTACCACATTCCACTCCCTGGCTTCGGTAAGTTTGTAACCATGCATAATTCAGAAATACGTTCAGTCCAACTTCCAAAGTCCTCGTAGTCTATAACAGTCTCAAACCTACTTAAAAGACTAAAGTTCAAAGTGTCTTCTGAAATTCATGTAATA